CTCCCAGCCCTGCAAAAGCATCAGAAATTATCTGGCCTACTGCTTCCTGGTGTTCTTTCCAGAGCCTTGTGGAGTTTCACTCTTCCATTGCACAGATCAATACTCAGCCAAAGGTACAAGGGGATATCCGGGCAAGATCTCCCAGACTCTCTGGGCCACTGCCTCCTCTCTGATACTCTGCCCATCCGCCTCCCTGAACGCCCCTCTCTGTCTCCTCCACTTGGTGAAAGGTCTGGTCTTACTCAGTGAAACCACTGGTCTCTGTTCAGGTTCCCCTCCCGGCTCTACGCCCTGAACACCGCCTCCAGACAGGAAGCTGGGGTCACTGTAGGACCTACCTTATCTGTTTCTCTTCTCTCAGGGACCACAATTCTGTACTGCCTGTTGTCCAATATCCGAAAACAGTTATTTCATATATTATGGAGAATTTTCTAGTTGTTCCCAGTGGGAGGGAAATTCCGCAGAAGCTCAAATGTAATTGTTAAAACCTACATAAAAAACTGAATTATGTTATCTGATCTTAAATTCAGTACAAAAAAAAAAGCCCCTCATACTATAGTATTAACAGCAAAGCTTCTTGAAAATGTTCTTTATAGGAGCTGTCATCATCTCTTAATTTCACATTCTTTCACGGGGTATATTCTGGTTTCTGTCCTCACCACTTCACTGAAAGAGTTCTTTCCACACCATCTATGACCACCTCATCAGTATCGCTAAAGACATTTTAGTTCTTTTCTTACTTGATCTTCTACAGCTGTGCTATCCAACACAGTAGCCACTTGCCACACGTGGCTCCTGAGTACCTGAAACGTGGCGAGTCCAAACTGAGAGGTGCTAGAGGCATAATATGCACAACAGATTTCTAAGACTTTGTATGAAAAAAGGATACAACATGATAATTTTACATTAATTACATGTTAAAATGATAATGTTTTAGATATACTGGATTAAACAAAATATATTTCTAAAATTAACTTCACTGCTTCTTTTTACCTTTTTAATACTGGTACTCGAGAGTTGACAACTACACCGTGACTCACGTTGTACTCCTCATGGCCGGTACTGCTCCACAGCAACCTCTCATATTGACAGAGCCCTGCTGTAAACTCGCTCCTTCCTGGGTTGGTGGGGCCCTGCTCTTCCCTGGTTCTCCTGCTGCCTCACTGTCTGCTCCTTCTCAGACTTCTCTTCTGAGACCTAATTCTAGTGTTCTCAAATTTTAGTGTGCTGCAAAATCACCTAATCACTTGCCAAAAATGGACATTCTTGGACCTTATCTGCAGAGATTCTGATCTGGTACGAACATTTATTATTAAGATCTCCCAGCTCAAATTCCTCTCATCTCCTCCTCTTCTTTCTAACTGCCTATTGTGTATCTCCACTTGGACGTCTCAAACTTGTACACATGCAACACGTAATTCCGCATCTCTATTCTCTCTAACCCAGTCCTCCTTTTGTCCTCCCAGTTACCCAAGCTAAAACTCTAAAATCATTCTCTCCTTCTTCCTCACATCTATATCTAACCAGGTACAAAAATCCAACTAAATCTGCTCGCTTCACTTCTATCCTCTCTAGGCTTTCTTAACTCCCTTAGTTCTGGGTTTCTCAATCTCAGCACTATTTAAACTTTGAACCAGAACCAGACAGTTCTCTGTTCTGAGGGGTTGCCTTGTGCATTGTAGAATGTTTAGCTGTTTCCCTGTCCTCACCCGACTAGATATCAGTAACATCCTCTAGCTGGAACAACCAAAACTCTCTCCAGACATTACCCAGCGTCCTGGGGGGGGGGGGGGGGGGGGCAATCACCTCTCACCCGGTAGAGCCACTGCCTTAGGTGACTGAGCCCTCGTCATTAATCACCCGCATTAGGGCAAGAGATTCCACCTGGCCCCCTGCCCAGGACTGTGCCTCTCCCTCTCCCCTCTCCTTACAGTTCCACAGCTGTCTTCCACATAAAATGTAGTATCTCTAACATGGCACAGAAAAGGCATTATCTGTCCTCTACTTACCTCTCCAGCTTCCCACTCCAGCTATACTGAATTCCTCGCAGTTCCCTTAAGGATGGATGAAAGTCACAAGAAGTGTTAGTCAGAAGAAGTGTCAAGTACACTAGCAGCTTATGAGATAAATGCAAAACTCCTAGGATGTTTTATATATAGAATATGAGTAAGCGTGTACTTTGTCAAACATAGGCAGAATTGTGTTAAATATACACAGTAAGTTAGTAAACTACAAGGCATGCCAAAGTTAAATCAAAAATATGATGGAACAGAGAGTCATTTATAGCCAAAAAGGGATGGAAAAACTAAAGTATGAGTAATTATGCCATCTCTGGGCTGACAGCTATGTCGCCCCTAATCAGCCACCATACGTGACACCTAGTAGAGTGTCATATGAGCTCTATCCAAGAAACGCAAATAAAACCCGCGTCTGCTCCCCAGGCTAAGTAGTAAACCCCGGCTGTGCCCAGCACGCTTCCCGTGTCTATCAACCAAGCAGGTGTGTGCCCCTGTCCCGGAGCACCGTCCCCCTGGGGCTCCTGGCCGGACCTCAGCGCCAGGCCTCACAGGCCCGGCGTCGGCGGAAAGGCTGCTGCGGCCGGAGGAGCAGGGGAGCACTGCGTGACTCAGGACTGGGGAGACCTGTCCCCCACGCGCCTGCACCCCGTCCCGCGTCAGCCCGCCCCAGCTCTTCCCCGCTTCTCGCCGGGGATTTAAATCGACGCATCGACCATGTCATTAGGGCGCCTGGGGCAATGTGTCTGGGGGCCTCGTCCCCTCCCCTCGAGGACAGTGGCCTGGGTCACGCGGAGCCTCCGCTGCCGGTAGCTTGCGCAGGGCGCCCCCAGGACGCCCCCTCTGGCACCCTCCCTCTGCCCGAGTGTTTCTGCCGCGCGTGCACCGCACGCGCCGTGACTGCCCGTGCACGCCTGTCCCTCCCACCAGGCTGTGGCCCCTCCGGGCAGGGTAGTTTCATTCTGTCTGTCTCGTTATTACTGTGTGCCCACCAGAGTGAGGGCTACAGCCACCGGACGCGCCCTCCCGCAGACGCAGCTCCGGGATCGCCACCGCTCCTGCCTTCCTCCCTCTCCCGGGTCCGGGGCCGTGCGGCCTGGTGGCCGGCGCGGAGGCGGCGGGAAGGAGACCACCTCCGGGAGGCGGGCGCGGCGTCGCCGGCAGCCCGGGCCTCTGGGCCTCGTCCCGTCCCCAGCCTCGCGTTTCCACTCGGCGGGTGAGAGAAACGAGTCTGCGTCTGTGGTTCCCCGGCCTCCCGACGCCGGCGGAGGCGGAGACCCCCGTGTAAGGGGCCCCGCTCTCCGGGCGGTGAGGGCCGCGGTGAACACCCCGACGGCCGGCGGACGACAGGCCGCCACACACACGGGCTGACCCAGGCCGTCTGCAGCCTGTAACGGAGGGGGACCCGGCACACACTCCTGCGGACCGAGGAGCACGGCGGAGACTTCCCCACAGGGCTGCTCTCCCGAGGGGCGCCAGGCGGGGAAACCGCCGCACGCACGGGCGCGGGCGTGGCCAGCCCGTGGACCGCACCAGGCCCGCCGGCCCCGACCTCCCGCCCCAGCCCGCGGGGCAGACGGCGACCCACGGCGGCGCCAGAGCCACGTCACCGCCCGGAGTCACGGGTCGTTCGCGCCGCCCCGCCCCTTCCGCCGGACGCGGCGGCTCCGCTCCGCTCTAGGCTGCCGCGCGCATCTCTGTGGTGGCGCCGGGCCTCTCTAGCCTCACCCCTGCCCCTCAGTGGTAGCGGGGAGGAGTGGAAGTCGGCTGCCGGGGCGCCGTGGGTGGACGTCGGCGGGGAGAGCGCCGCGGAGGTGGGGAGCGGGCCGGGCCGGGCCGGGCCGGGGCGGCGGGAGGGCGCGGGCGGGTGTCGGGGGTCCCCGAGGAGCGTGGGAGGGCGCCCCGGGAGGGCTCTCCGCTGGCCGGGTCACCCGTGGCCCTTCGGGGCAGGGCCTGTCTCCGGCGCGGTTGTCGCCCCCGGAAGGCCCGGGGCCACCGGAGCTGTGACGTGGCCTCGCGGCTTTCCTGTGTGTGACAGAAGCCCCCGGTCCGGTGTCGGGGGGCCGCGTGGCCCTCACCGTGCCCGGTGCCGCGCCCGTAGCGGCGGACGCGGAGAGGGCCGGCCTTCCCGGCGTGACACCGGGCAGTGCCCGAAGGCGTCCGTCCACGGGCCGTGTAGTGTCCGCGGGGGCCAGGGCGCGCTGGTCAGAGCAACCGCGGCCGCGCACAGGGCGGGTGTCGCGGGAAACGCCGCCTGCGGTGACGGGGTCTGCCCCGGGAGGGTTCGTGCACAGTGCGGGGTGCGAACCCCGGGGCGGGGCTGGGGCACAGCGCCGGGTGGGGAGACGCCGGCCTGTCCGGGGGGCGAGCTTCCCCAGCAGGGAGCACACTCAAGACGGAGCGCAGACGGTGTGGTGGGCCGGGGCCCCGGGCCGGAGCAGGGGCGCCGCGTTCAGGAGCGCAGACCGCGTTCCGGGAGGACGGCCTGGCGGAGGGCTCGGGCCCCGGGCGCTGAGCGCCGTCTGTGGCGTGAGCGAGGGGCCCGGCGGAGGGCCCGGGCCCGCGGGCGCTTGCTGCACGTTCATAGTGTTAGCAAGTGGGGTCTGATGGTTTGGGCCCCGCGCAGCACAAGGCGGAATGGGAGCCCTGCTCCTTCCTCTTGGTCTGGGAAAACCTCCCGGTGTTGAAATTCTTCTGTTGTCTACGGAGGAATAGAGACAGATTGCAAATGGGGTTTGCTCAGTTGTTCCAGAAATGATCTGAGAGCGCACCGCACAAAGCGTTAAAAAGTCTGACGGAGTGCCTTAGGTGAGCGCAGAGTAAACCATTAGGACCTAGTCAAGAGGGATTCCTCATATACAGTAAACTCAGGTTATTGTTTCATTCATTCAGCGAATACGTGAGCGTGTATCAGGCACGGGGCTAGGCTTGGTGGCTGGAGCCCTAAGCCTCAGCGTCTCCTAAGTGGGGGCGGTAGCGCTCACCTCGGAGCTGGCCTACAGGCGAGTGAGATGATGGTGCTCAGCGCTGCACCTGGCCCGTACTGACTCAGGCACCTCAAGGAAGTCTTCTAGGTGGCACCGTGGACTATCTTTTTGTTTTAAATTCTCTTTACCTTTCTTGTTGGGCCTGGCTCTTCATGAAGATTGAGACTGTCTGATCTGGCTCTTTCACCCTCCTGTTAGTGCCCATTCACGTTTTGTGTAGGTAGTTAGCATCTGAGGTTTAATTTAATGGGCACAGAAAGTTGCCAGAGGTATGACGTGAGCGCTCGTGTGCGCCCATAATAAAAGCTGCTGATTTGCATGCTAGGGGTAGATGAAATTATTTTTTCATTAAATAAGACAGAACCTGGGAAAAATGCTTTATAAATTATGAGACCCTACAGCCCCCCCCCTCCCCCAAAGGCATTTTTCGTGAAAGGGAAAGATTCTTGTGAGTTAGCCTAAAAATTCAGTAAATTTCTTGTTTGGTTAAATTTCCTCTTAATGCTATTTTTCCCACTAATTAGGAGACTGGTAACAAACTAAAAAGCTGCATTAAGAGAAATCAACATATTGGAGCAGATATTGCCACATCTCCCCTAAAAATTTTGATTGGAAAAATTGAGTTCCATTTTTAATCCCCACCTCCCTCTGCTGTTTTGTTATTGGCGGTGATGGTGGTGTCCTGCTGTAAATCCTGTAGGAGCCCTGGGATACTGTCTTAGACCTTGCGTTGTTGGGAAAGCTTGCCAGCATCATGGCCCTGTGTGAATCGCCCAGCTTCTTCACTCCATCTAGCCTGCCTACCTTATAGTTTGGTGATGAGTAGCAAGAGAGAATGCTGAAAAGCTTATTCCCTTCGTGGCAGTGTTCAAGTCGTATGAGGAGCAATTGCTTTCGTTTACTACCTAAGGAAGTAAAAGGGTTCTAAAAAGTCTATTCTACATTTATTTTATTCTCTCTTGACTCTGGTAGTGCTGTAAAAATATTAAATGTTAATCCTAGAATCACAAAACGTACTGTATTTAGGCACTGAAGTGTTGGCTATCCTAAGGCAAGAAAGTCCAAAATGCAGAATTTTTAAAATAAAGTGTCAAATAAAAAACATCCGGAGTTAGTAAGGAGAGACTTTATTTGAAAGGGTTACTGCACAGGGGAGAAGGGACTATCACAAAGGAGAGAAGTCTCTGACGAGAAGACCTGCAGCATCTCCAGGAAGGAGTAAGTGGTGCTAAAACAGAACTGCTTGGTCTGATTGTAGGTTCCAGAATGTTTGCCCTGGCCAGCCTTTTCTCCAGAAGGCAGATGTGATGGTTCTGGCTGAGGGTAGGCCAAAGTTCAGGGACCTATGGAAAGGAGAGAAACAAAGGTCTTAACAAACATTTTTGTTTCGATTGATCATTGGGGACAAGCAGCTCAGCTATCATTCTTAAATTCATAAATGAGGCAAAGAATGGGAATTTGGAGGCTCTTTGTCCAGGTCATAGGGAAACGAGTGGGCATCCTGGAGCCTTATAGAACCGTATGGAGAAGAGTAGGAGGATTTCTTGAACTGTGGCTGTTAAAGAACAAGGTGCATGGTCTGAGGTAAAATTCAGCTTGTCAAAAGGCGTTTCTGCTATTTGAAATGGAAAATAATTAAGTATACAAATAAAATTCATCCCAACATCTATACAGGAAGGCCTTAGGTGACCCACTGACCTGTGCAAGAATTAAATAAGTGTTAGTGTTTGTAAATCCTGCATCACTAGATGTAGTTTGAAAGTACTTGAAGACCTGGATCTGAATTGTACCATAGTGAAAGGTTCCTAAGGGGGGGCAAGGGGGTGGAATAACTAAATTAATGAGGTCTAAAGGAACACATTTAGGGGTTTTATGCATGTTATCCCATAAGAAGCAGAATTTTTTTCTTCCGTGAGGAATACTAGGGATTATACTGGTCAAGGTGATTGACTGGAGCAAGTGAATCTTTTCCTGTGTTAGATAATTTTCCACAAAAAAAGGGAGAAGCAAAATCCTGACTATCAGATGTGAAATTATGATGTCGTAACCTGTGCAGATGACAATCAAAGGAGCAGACAGTTATCTATCAAGAATAGTGAAATAAATGGGTGGAGGCAAAACTGTCTTCCTCCACCGTGAGGCTGGGAGTCGGCTGAGCCCCACCAGGAGGAATTGACGGGAAGGTAGATGAGTTCTGCACTGGTGTCAGTCATCCACGGTAGTCTGCTGTAAAAGAGCTCAAAGGCAATGAAGGACTCAGAGCCCCCTTGTAATCAGAAGGTGAAAACCCTGAAGGCTGTGCTCCCAGCAGTGCAGTCTTCCCTTGAAGCAGATGGTTTTTTCTATACCTATTTGATCAGATTTACAACCACCCTGCCTCATCATCTTCCCTAGCGTCAGACTTCCTGGAAGGCAGTAGGGGTCTCTGTTTGTTTTTCTTATGCTGTTTTGATATGCTGTATAAATATAGTTGCTTGGTAAATATATTTTTTAATTGAATTACCTAAAGCAGTACATCTCAAACTGTAATGAGCTTATGAATCACCTGGGGATCTTTTTTCAAGGGCAGATTCTGATTCAGTGGGTCTAGGGCCCAGACTGAGATTCTGCATTTCTGAGTTCCCAGCTGATGCCAGGACTGGTCCATGGACAATGAATAGTAGTGCATTTCTGACTGGTAATTAGGGAAGGTGTTAGGTAATCATTACAGAAGAACACAGCACCCTGCTGCAGGTGTGCGGGGCAACATGAAGGTGCTGGACTGTCCCTTGAAGAAAATAAATGAATATTGTGTGCCACATTGCCAGAGCACAGACCAAAGTGAGCAAAAGAAACAGTTGCTAGGAAACATCCAAAGCTTTACAGCAGAATTGGAGCTTGGGGGAGGAGGGCGGAAATGAGGACATGGAGGGATACAAAGGGGAGGAGCAGCCAGAGGGGGTAACTTTCAGATGGCAAGCAGTAACCCTGTGAGATCACTACCCGAAGTTCTGTGCCCCTGAGCTAGCCTGACTCCCTGTCTCAGATCAGGAAGCTGAGCTGTGAAAGACTTGAAGCATAAAACTGCATTGACGAGTGTATATGCTTCGACCACGACGTTTTTACTCAAGTGAGTGGTACCATATGCCAGTGAGTTTTAATCAGTGTGTAAAATTTATTTTTTGCTGCAACTGGCAATGTCTTCTATCAGATAGGACAGTTTCATTTTAAACTGAGCAGGTCCTGTAATTTTTTCACAGGGAGCTCAGCTCTCTTTTAACGACAGGTAAGAGGTGGAGCAGAATGTGAAGCTGGCACCAAAGAAATATCTCTGCTTACTGGAAGATGCCGAAAATGTAAAGTAAATGCAGTTGCTAGAATTAGCAAATAAAAATACAGGATGCCCAGTTAAATTTGAATTTCAGACAGTGAATTGCTTTTTAGCAATATTTGAGACATAATTAAAATGAAAATTATTTTGTGCATTATCTAAAATTCAGATTTAACTAAGCATCTTGTATTTTATCTGGCAACTCCAGTAATAAATAATTCTAACTCCACAGTGACACGTGAGGGATGGCTGCCTAGAAAATAGTATAATAATCGTGCAGGCAGTCTAATTCCTTAAAGTGTTCTTCCAAAAATTATAGTACTCAGAAGTGTGCCAAGAGCTCAAAATGTTTGGAAGCCACTGTTTACCAAAAGGGGATGTTTTCAAGGACTGATAGGGTCATGGCTAACTTGAAGCAAAAACTAATTTAGCTCTACGCTCTCCATGTAAGAGTCCAGGTCCACAGTAGTTCAAAGTTAGTAAAAGAATTTATACTCTTGCGGAAGATGTCCAAGGAAATACTTACCAGAAAAATGGATTTAATGGGAGTTAATCAATTATATTTCCAGGTTTCCAAGCGAGTCTAAGGTCGCTTAGAAATAGGTATTCAACTTCACTGGCACAACTTACAGAGTCTGGTAATAAACTCTTGTGAACTATGTAGTAATTTAGCCAAGATTAAAGCAAAATAAAGGAACAGAAGCCCCTGTAGCCAAGGAAAAGAGTTCCCTAATGCGTAAAAATATTACTATGGACAGATAGAATTTCTAAAATAAATTTCTTAAGTTGCAAGATACTTTTCCCATCAAATGTGGTCAGGGTAGCCTAAGTCTTTGAATACTAAGAACTAGTTTTATGTTCTATGGTGTTATAGATTGGTGGCTTCAAACCGGTGATAGTTACTTACAAATATAAAGAATCTGCAACATTAATGAGACACTAAGCATTAGCAGTTTCCACAGTGTGCTGGGGGATACTTAATCAAGTTTCCATCTACGCTGACTGTTAAGAAAGGTCGAGCCAGATTTGTGTCCCGTATCTGCTAAGGTACAGTACAGCGTAGGTGGTGGTTGTGTAATGGTATCTCTGGCTTTCTCTTTCTCCACTCCTTAATTTATCTTAACCCACTTTTCTGTAAAAAAAAAAAAAAAAAAAAATCTAATTATTTGTATCATACAAGCCATTTTACCTGACGTGATTGGGACCTATACTTGGCAGTTAAATTTTTAAAAGTTGGTTAAAATAGAGTAAAAGAAGATAAATATACTCCATTTTGATCAACTTTAAAAATTTTAAGTTAAAATGTGTGTTTTTACACTTTAAATTGTATTATATGTTTTAACTTTTTAAACTTAGTATTTTAACTTAAAGATGTATATTTATTCGCCATTTTTTGTTACATGAGGTCAGTCTTGTCTTTGTATATGATTCTACTGATTGCAGTTTCTCTCTGCGGATTACACTTCAGAAATCATCTAAGATTTCTAAGCAGTTTTTAAACGTGGAGCAAAGCTTATAAAAACACCTGCAAGGTTGCAGAATCCTACCTTGCCACCACCAGATTTCAATGGTTCACATCTATTTTCAGCAGCCATTTTTTTCCTAGTGACTTGCATTTTTTTAATTTTCTCTTAAGAATTCAACTAAGTTTTTGTATTTGTTTTGAAAAATATTTGGGTATGAAAAATTTCAAATAGAA